AAATACATATGAATATGTGCATGGCGACAGATAGTATTGAAACTCCTCTGTAACTTTGTACCTTAAAGTGGCAAGTGTTAATAATATAAATTTAGAAAGTTAATTGACCAGAGACTATGTATGCAGCCTGTTACAATTGAAGCCCATTCTAGTAAGAATGAGTTTTCTATTCATCATGAAAAGAGTAAACATGTTACTCTGGTTATGCATTAAAATACTAAACATTACATACAGTATAGGTATGATCTTCGTAATACAAAACGTTTTAATAACGGTTGACTACGCAGCAATTTGCTATAAGCTGAAATCCTCTGTCCACAACACGTATTGTATTACCTCCTGATATTAAAAAAAAATGGGAATAATCCTAGAGATAAGTTTTGTAATTTTAACTAATATTTCCATTACTGAGCTCAATTACTTTGCATATTTAACTGGTCTATTCACATATGAATTCAATCACAACTGATAATTGCTGTCATATTAATATTTCATTATGCATGAAGTTGAAAAGAGTATATTTTATTTAGAGAGGAATCATTTATAAAGTTTACAATCATGAATTCAAAGAGGCTTTACTAATTCCATTCACCACTACCAAAAAACAAGTTTATACACCACAATTATTGATCTCTCTCAACATTTTTGCAATAAACTTAATTTCTACATATAGTACAGTGGTCCCTCGGTTAACGCACGCCTCGGTTAACGAAATTTCGGTTAACGAACTGCCTCCCATAAGATTCTTAAATTTGGTTAACGAACAAAAATTCGGTTAACGAATTTCTTACGAACCGACCTCAACATGTTTTCGCTTGCACTGGCCGGTCAACCAGCTTTAGTATTAGTCCGCCAATACATTAATCGGTTCTAGGGATTAAATTCCTTACTATTTTTGTAAATATCAAGAAGTTTATACTATTCAATAATTTTAAAAGTTTAATATTCAATTTTTTAGTCATTTTAACAATTATTGAACATAATTGAAGGTAAAGTGACTAGTTTAATGCGCTGCATCCAGCCTCTTAACACAGCAAACAGGCGTTAGTCTCTCTCTGTTTTCACTGGAGGTAACATCTTGCTTGAGACTCTCTTCAACTAAACGCTTTTTTTCTGTGTTTCCAAGCAAATTATTGGTCATTTTGAAATATATTTTACATATCGACAATATATAATGCAGTGCAGTGTTGATTTAAAGAAAATAATCTTGAAATACACCAAGAGAACTAAAATTTTATGGGTGAAATGGTGCCATGGGGTGACTTCTCTTCCACCCCAATGCCTTCTCTTCTTCCTTCTCCACCCCCATTCTAATTCCCATCATCATCATCATCATCATCCAGGAGCCTTCTACATACACACCTCAAAGTAAGTGAACTTTTCTACCATTTTTGTTGAATTTAGGCAATTTTTGGTGAGCTGGAACCAATTGCCCAAAAACCCATTGAAACAATGGTTTCGGTTAACAAATTTTTCGGTTAACGAACAACCTGCTGGAACGGATTGTGTTCGTTAACCGAGGGACCACTGTATAACATTTTATTTTTCCAAACCTTTCTATCAAAACAAGAATGCAGAAGGCTGATTATATTACCCATTTTCATTATTAAAATCATAATTTGGAATCCATGAGTTTACTTGTGTGCAGTATATATAACCATCGCCTGATTACGTGCTTTTAATGTATCGGTTCAATATTAAAATTAGTTATTAAAGTCTATGTAATCGAGTCAAGTGCCCTGTATATATGAACAATTGGCCATTGATCACTGTTTTAAACCAATTACCAGGACAATTTATCTATTACCTCACTAGGATAGTTAAAATTACAGCAACTTGACATTATTGATCACCTCCAAAAAACAACACTGTATAATTCTTAATATTCAAAAGGTGTTGTCTAGTGCAGAAAGTAAGACTCCGTATATTTAACACCTAATATATACAATAACACCTCTGTCAATGGAGTTCTTACACTGAAATAATTTAATGTATTTTAGATTTATGCTATAAGGAACTTATGCAGTTCATTTAAATTGCATGAAGTGGTATTAAATATTCCTTAAGGTGATCTATCTTATCCTCCCTCAAATTTAAATTATTTGTGAATTAGCACAGTTATGTTCTTTGGGCTATTATGTTAATGTGAATAATCTACGCTTAGGGATCTTCCTATACATGACACCATATGTTTAAGCTTAAATACTTCCTAATACTACAATTTAAGTAAGCTTGAGTTTAAGGTTAGCAGTTTTAATACATCATTTTAAACATTGAAAACCTAACCTAACTATATCCACACACAAAGTAATAAGTTACTGAAGGGATGACAATCTTTCTTAACTTATATTCTAATAACTTCTAAACAAACATAAAAACTGATAGTTGGACAGAAGATGAAGAAAAGACCAAAAGATAGACTGAAAGATGAGAGGAGAAACATATTTAGTACTGGAAATAATAAGATATGTAATAAAAGTAATGAATGCTAAGAACAATTTATTCTTTAGACTAAATTGCCATCTGATCTCGTGGTACCACAGTATACTTTTTACTTTATTTCTACTTTTATCCTCTTCGCCACTGATCGGCTCATTAGCCGCTTGGGCGATCGGTCACGTCTCTGATTACTTTTCCTTTTCATTTATCTTCTTCACCAAAAGATCGGCTCACTAGCCGCCCGGGCGATCGGTCACGTCTCTGTCACGCACTGTTGGCAAACACTGGGCATGCACCGGCTCCTGAATGTACCTAAACCCGCTCCAGTGTTGGTCAAGTCTTGTCTTGAAAGAGAAAGAGCTCACACTCGGTGCCGTCACAACACTCTCTGGTAGGTTGTTCCAAGAGTTTACAACCCTCACTCCGAAAAAGTTTGCCCTCACAGTTTTCTGGACTTGCAGCTTCTTCAATCTTGAGCTGTGACTTCTTGTGGGGCGAGCGTCCGCCAGCTCCAAGTAAGGACACTCAACTGAGTAGTGCCCCCTGAGATGCTTATACACCTCAACTAGGTCCCCCCCTTGCTCGTCAGTAGTATAAGATAGGCAAGTTCAGGCGCTCCAATCTCTCAGGGTAGCTGAGGTGCCGAAGTGCAGGCACCAGTCTGGTGGCCCTCTTTTGAACATTTTCAACCAACTGACAGTCCCTAGCATATCTTGGGGACCAGATGGGGTGACAGTACTCCAGATGGGGAAGCACTTCACTCCTGAAGATGGTTACGAGGGATGGACCGTCTAGATACATGTATCTGAACGACCTTCTTATAAGACCCAATAATTTATTTGCCTGATTTACCTTCTTCTCGCAATGGCCCAAGAACTTCAGCTCATTGTCAACATACATACCTAGGTCCTTCTCACATTCAGTCTCAACTAGTGCAGTTTCTTCATCCCATTGGGACATATGATACGCCTCCTTACCATTGGTACGCCCCAGGTGCATCCTCTTACACTTCGTGACATTGAATCTCAGCAGCCATTTCTTCGACCATTCCTGGAGCCCACAGAGGTCCTTCTGCAGTTCTTCACAGTCCGCTTGGTTCTTAATTTCCCTAAATAACTTGGCGTCATCGGCAAACATTTGTATGGAGGATGTAAACACGGATTGTGAGGTCATTATTTAAATACTATAAGCCCCATATTCAGAACTCACAAGACTAAAATAGGTATTTTTTCTCTTGTTTGACTTTATATACAACCTACTTCTAAAATTAGGATGAGAGATTTAATATGGTAATTCTAATCATCCCTTTCAAATAACAGTACAGACTCTTGCTTCTTTGAATACGTGTGACAGAGGCATAAACAGTAATGATCTAACTTTTAGTAATACCTCATGCAACAAAACCCTGCCTGAAGGTTGATCCGGTTACAAAAACACTTGGCTCTTTACTCGGCTACAGAGGATAGAAGAGACAAACAATTCTACGCGGGTGTAACTACCAGTACTGGAAGGGTGCAAGACAAAAAGGGATGTGAACGCAAAGCACATTTTCATAAGCCTACAAATGCCTCTACTGTAAATGGAATATGACTTCAGACACTTAAAACAGTATCAGTGATCAATACAGTATTCTCTACTACTAATAGGATTGGTGTTAATGTTTGATGTGGATGTGTGTCTTCTGTACAAGGGCCACGTTGGGTGTTTAGAAAGAAAAATTCATCTTTCTCTCTCCTATTATTTCTGTTTTATTTGTGAAATCTTATGTGAAATAAAAAAAACAAGAAATATCTGGCATCTACTTTGGGTTATATCGACGAATCAGTGAACAGTTAACATACTACTCATGTTACCTTCTGAGTGAAAGATCATTGAAATTCTCATGCTAGTACAAATAGTCATAGCATACTAAATTAAGCAATGTAAATATTATATACATGAAAAGACAAACTAATATAAATTGAAGAAATGACAGGGCCACATGGAACAGACATGGATCAAACTTAGACGTAATGTGAAATCTTGCCTACCGCTTGAGATGCTTTTCACTGACTCGATGCCTTGCCACCTGCTCTGACAAGTCCAACACTCCAAGAGGTGTTAGTGGAGCAGAAGTAAAATCAACCATTATGAGTCCTAAGCATGCAGCCCACTCGCCTTACCCTCCAATTGAGCTGCTTTTCCATCATAAGAATATGAACCCTCTTTTCTGCAGGCTGCATTTGTATTTTAGTGAGCAGTACTGCCACAACCAAGGCCATGCTCCCGTTACCCTGCAGGGCCAACCGATGTAGACGGGGTTGTGGCGGTGGTGGAGACGTTGATGGTTGTGTAGGTTTTGGTTGAAGGAGGGGAAGAAAGACAAAAATAAAAACACATTTATACATCGACTATGACAACATCGATTACTCTTCTCGCTGGTGGCTGTGAGGTCGTTTACAAATGGCCTTTTCCAATGCGAGAGAAAACAACGTCACAGCCATAAGGCGGGAGGTTGCCAGGAGCACAAGCAGGGGCTGTTCCAAGGAATGATGCAGTGGAGTCAGCTCTTCAAGACTTACCCTCTTCGTTAACTGTGTGTCCATCATGAAATTGTGAACATGTTTCTCGGCACGGCTAAGTTCCATTTTACGTGAGACCACAGCGACCAATAAGGCAGTGCATCCGGCCCCCTGGTGGCGGCAGTGGAGGAAAGGTTAGTGCCAGGTTGAGAATACATTACACACACGCTAGCTCCAGGTTCAGCAGAGGATAGCTAGTCATTATTAGGTACTGCTTAGGAAGAAAAGCTGTATGAACTAGTTATGGTTAGGAAGCTGATGATTAATGTGATGATTCTCGTCTGAGAGTTTTATGTTAGTCTTAGAAGGAAAAATGTAATAAGAGAAGAACACATTTGTTACACGCTATGACAGAGAAATGACAAATTTTGAGAAGAAGATTGACAATATTTTTTGGTGATAAAATCTTATGAAAAGACGTAGCTGCACTGGAAGATGAGACCCGTGGCCAACTTCCACAAAAGGAAGGTAAAATTAATGGCCTACAGATTAAGAAAAAAATCAATAAATTATGTTACAGCAGTTTTGTTAATGTCGGATTTATGGTAGTTTCAAGTAAAAACGAAAACTACAATTATTGTTCTATTGTAAAAAAAATAAGTTTTCATCAAGAAAAAAAAAGAGCTGAAAAGCATTAATTTCATGACCATTTTATACAAGCAATGCTTTTTCCTTGGTCCAAAATAGGTAAGCTAGGTTGTCTACCACTCCCAGGAAGAAGAAAACACTCAATTCTAAATGTGGAGGTCACGATAAATATTGCTTAGATACTGATCACTAACATGAGCTTAAATCATTACTGTCGAGGAAAGAAAATATTTTCCTAAACTAGTATAGAATATGAACGAGATTTCATGTTCATTATAAAGAAGAGAAATTGATAAAGATTGTCATGATGGGAATAAGAAATGCTTAAGTAACTGCTGTAGGAGATTGTAACAGGAAGCAACAAATATCATCACCATTGATTTGATGAAACTCTACGAGAAATATAATTTGAATGCTAGGGTATTTGTTTTCAATTATTATAAGGTCAATGATAAATGACAGAAAAAGAGATATAAAGAACAAGTAAAAATAAAAAAAATAGTGTACTGTTTATGACATGATTTTCTTTTATTGTAGCTTAGAAGTTGTTATCATATGACAAAATAAACTTAAAAGAAAATAGAATACTAATCACTAATTAAGGTCAACATTGGTATCATAAATTTGGTAAACAATATTAACTTTCAGACACGGGTAAGTTTCGCATCAATTGTTCTAAACAGTGACAGTGCTATATATTCCATAATTTCCTTACTTAAACTGATAATCGTTCAAATTTGTACTAATTTTTACTTACTGAACATAGCATTATAGTTGGTACAGTTCATTTTCAGTACTATGGATTTACTTGCTGTTGAAGTTGCTCATGACTATTTATTTTCTTTTGTTGTTTAAAGGGAAATTATAGAATAACAATCTGGAAGTTGAGAGAATCCCAGACAAATTAATGAGACTGGTGCTTTAGATATGCATTGAGTATAGATTCTAAATTGATCAAGTACAATATATATTAACCTTTAACTACTGTACTTAAAGTTTTATAATTTTATACACACAAAGTGATGTTAAAGAAGAACTCTATATTTCTGCCAGTTTTTTTCTTCAGTTATTCAATTCTACCAGTTCTTTTCACCTCAATGTTTACTTTACTTTTCCTTTGCTTTACAGTTCCATCTCATATGAAAGGTTCCATGTTTATATGTATACACTGTACAAGGTCAGGCAACACATTCTCCAGTCTAAAACATCCTGATCATTATACTCGCCGAGGGAATCATCGTTTTTTTTTTTTTTTCCCCGAGGAGGATGTTGCTGTTTTGGGGCCCAGTGTAACCAAGGGAGAAGGGGGTTATTCCTATTCTATATATGTTGCAGCATAGTGGTTAGGGTTGTAAAGGGGCAATTATGGTAATATGGAATTTAACTGACAGAATGTGGAAGGTCCAATGACATAAACATGAACAACACTCCCAGCTACTGTAAAGTGTGAGGGGTGCTCTCAACCTGCCTCAGGCCTGGATGACTTATCATTACCTACTCCCAGCAACATAGACCCGCACTCTTGAGAGAAGAGAATGCTAACCTTAAGTGAATATTCTAAGTCTAAAGATCCTGAATTTAGTAAAGAGCTTGAAAAATTACAGGAAATACAATGTAATGTAATAAACTAGCACTTTGTAGGAATATGTAACCCTGAATACAAGTATTTAACTTTTGGTTTTAATGTACTCAATGGAAAATTTTTGTGGCCCATAGTACGGATACCTGCACTTTTTATGCAGGGCTGTAATGTAATAAAGAATATAACGATAAATTTTACTAACAAGTAAATGAAAATAGACAGGCACAGCTTCCCATACTGATAATAGGATGACAAATTTTTATTTTCAAAGTTGACATTATCCCTGATGATTATTTTTTTTTTTTTAGACTATAATGACTTTCCCTGATAATGACAATTATCTATTTACTGTAAAGATCATTATCGATGTCTTCATTACCACAACTGTATAGGTTTCGTAACATTTCTCTGCCAGAAATTAGTGATTTATCAAATTGAAAAAGGTACTTATTTATAGAACACAAGGATATATTTCTTCTCTATTAATCCTTTCATTTATAAGAAAACTAACAGGAAATGGATCTGAGAAAGTCCCAAGAGAAATAAATATTAATGTGACCTTTAGTTCAGCCAAAAGAGCAAGCTGTTCAAAATGTATCAGAATTCCATAAACAAATCCAATATATGAATAATTTTATTTAATTAGTTCTCAGTACTGTATCTAGTTTGAATAGATACTGAGTATAACTTGAGAATCAGACTTCAGTGCCGTGAATCATAATATAACAAATTTCTTTTGTATGGAAGTCGACAGATAAGTGGTAAACTTAAATATCCGATGCACAAAAATATAGTGAATTAAAGCCGGAACTATAAATATTAAAATTACTAAAAAAATCAAACTCAGTACGTTAGAATGCGTACAACAGCACAGAACAATATCATGTAAGATACCGAGTTATTAAAATGTTGATGACTTGCATAGTTACTAATCTAGTATATGTGCATATGGACCTTAATTAAAGCTCATTAATACATTATAATATCAACATCAGTCATCATAAAGTAATTATTAGGAAGAAGTAAGGGAGATGGATCTAATTATTAATGGAATGAAATAATTCTACAAACATGTCAATAAGCAACAGATTGAGGATGTTCGAGAAAGGAAATAGAACTTAAGAAGAATGAGAAAGACAGAATATAGACTAAATGTTGATATTATAGAAGAAATAAACTAATTTATCAGTTTGTGCACAGTTATTCATAAAATATATTAAAGAAATTGAACAAAAGTTCAATTAGATTGGAACAAAGGACTCTATAAATTTTAGAACAATAAACTTATGAACATTCTTACTCACACTTATATGGATTTCAATGAACCAAGAGATGAACCAAAGGTAAAAATAATTTCAGGTGAGAGTCAATTTGCAATATTTTCTAGAGTTAATCCTGAGATGTAATTTATATTAACACTTATTGAGATTAATCTGCTATGCAAGTGTCTGATGTATGAACTGTACTGTACAAGCGAGAGATATTAATAAATCAGAACAAGAATCTACCTCCTCACTTCGGTTCTGCAAAGGTAATAAATATGAGTGGACAGGCTTTACTAGTATTGATATTTACTGAGATCATCTTTCTTCTGATGTTATCACTGTAACATTCTCAGCAAACACAATAAAAAATTACACAACTGAATGTATCTATCAATAGAGGGACGAGAAATTAACCTGATCAGAATTAAAAGTTATGTTCTGTAGGTTTAAAAGTTCCAGATTTTAGAAGTAAAAATTCTGGGTTATAATGTTTACTGTGCTTCTACAGTTATAGCCTTTACAGACATATTGTACACCAGGTAATACACTAAAACATCAGGTATCAAACATTAGGACAGTCACTCTGTCAAATGTTGTTGTTTTACTACTGCGCTTTAACAACTAAACGTGTATTCTCGATTAGTACAGTATATGCAGTAGTCATCAACAAAATTACTCATACTAATATTAATTTCGAAATATAAATAAGCTTATCTGAAGATTTTCTAAACTTTGTAATTTTTCATTCATATAATTACCTGTATTGTGAATAATTACTTTTATATTTGACAACATTGATTTTAATATGCTGGTTGTAACAGTGAGTTGACCAGCTTGTGGTTGAGTAGATAATCAGCTTATTACTGCATTCTGGATCAAAAGCAGCATTGCCAAATATGACTAATGGCCTGGCAGGGGCAATGCAGATATAGTACACTGAATACTTAACCTCAGTGGACAAGGAGAGAGAGACACACAAAAACACAAATGCACATCTACACACACACACACACACACTTTTATCCTCTCCGCTACTGATCGGCTTGCACAGGACACACACACACACACACACACTTTTATTCTCTTCACCACTGATCGATGAACACGCACACACACAACCTCTCTCTCTCTCACACACACACACACACACACACACAAACTCTCACTATGACTGACAGACACCTAGAAACAATAAAGAGATACCATTTCGAAATTCACTTTTACTTTTGTTGACTCCATAAAAAGGAGAAAAAGGAAAAAGCCAGACTGTAAACAATGGAATACAAAAATGATGAAAAAGAAGAAGAGGTCAAAAGGAAGATGTTGTCATATTATATTAAGAAATATGAAGTATGTAGGTGGTGTATAATGAACATATATGAGATCAATAGCATATACTTAATGATTATAGCTAAGCTAAGCTATATATATTATTTTAACAAGCTTACTTTATGAATAAAGCTTAAGTCAAAATTTTGTATAATTATACACTACTAATACATGTTCTAAATATTGTCTCAAATCCTACTCTAGATATCATGTTCTGCTTTATACAGTACTGCAAAGTTATCAAAAAGTGAAAGACTCATTTCTCTCTTAAGGAGACAATAACTTCAAGATTTATGCAAAGCTTGATGTTAAATACTTTACTAAGTCGTCCCACACCCTTACGCAAATAATAAGTAGCTGTGAGAACTCCGTGATAGTGTAGTAAGCAAATTGTATATTGAAGAAATATTGCACATGCCTAGCATTCAAAGTGTATGTTAAAATGGAATTCTCATAGCATAATAATTTTCAAATTTTAAAATTCCATAAAAAGGAAAAGTGTGGACACTTGTACTATTCTTCCATTAATTATTTACTCTTAGATGTATGTACAAGGTATTTTCTAAAATGTTCATTTCTCTACTAGAATGAAAATTTATTAAGTCTGGTTGATATAAAACATCTCCAGAAAGTGATTCACAGTTGTTGGGATTTACAAAGTGTAAAACATTGGTAACCAGATAATGAAGGAGTGACAACCAAAACTTTAACTTGTTACACCTATGGAAGACAGCACCCATGTCCACACTACTGTCTGGGCTGTGGGACTCTTACAATAGCCAAGTCATAAAAACCTACATAATTAATTACAGTACTCTGAGAGACAATGGTCTGAAGAAGACATACCTGACTGTGCAGTTATTATTCAAATATACCATTGTTTTGGAAATTTAGGACAAATTGACATGATCATTGATCACCGTAAAAAAAAAAGTATATATGGCAGCAACTCTGTCACAAAGAACACTCCTTTGTTGAACAAACCATGCATAAACTCATGCACCAATATTTGTTGGCCGTCACATGGTCACATGCGTGCGTCCCCTTTATGATCACTCCCTCTGTTGAACAGTTCAGTATTTATATTCCAGGCCCACCCATGAACACTCCTTTAACGCACTGAAGATTTTTTAATGGATTTCAAAAAGATACTTGTGGCAAAGCCATGTGCAAAGTCAAGTCATAGAATAGACCTCAAGCTGCATATCTTTTTGAAACTACACCTTGTAAACCTGTAATGAAGAGAGTTAACTAAAATGGGAGTATTTAACAGTGCATTTGCAAATCTCCTTTTTTTTTAAGAAGAGACTTTTTAGTTTATTCTGACAGCATACAAGAAAGTAATTTTAAAAGAGTAAAAGAAATTAACTGTTGTTTGTTAGAAGGAAAAGCTTTTGTTTAGGGTGGCACTGAGAGCCCTGGTATATCATGCATGAGCAAGAAGCTGCCTTAGCGTCAAGAGACTATGCAAAACAACAGCTGTTTACTGGCCACTGCGGAGAGGACATCCCACCGCTCACTGAGGAGAGTACACAATCCCTCTCGTTTGGGGGGACACGTCACCGTACACCATGTAGTGGATACGCAGCCAGTTATAGAGAACACAGGCTCTTCCCCACTACTGAAGGCACATGCCGATATTTAGGATAAGAGGTAATCCTTCTCACAGCGGTCACTGATCAGTAAAGATAAGCTCAGTAGTCATTTGGGCAACCAGTTTATCAGTACACATAATACAGTGTCCTTGCCACAGATGATGGGACTTATTAGTAATTCAGAGAGCGGCGTGCAATTGGCCACTTCCATCCACACACCCAACTAGCATTAACAGGTGCGTTTTGTGCAAAAATCAGTTTGTATTATAAATCTATACTTTGCATTATATTTCCAAAACTTGTTAAAGATAAGCAACTATTTGTTGTTGATTCTAATTTTGGTACTTCAACATTCAGGATTCTAAATCAACATTCATTGACCAAGTTCCTACAACACTTAAAAGTTGAAAGGACTCGTGTCTTAGCATGAATGATTCCTTATCTACGAAGATAAATTCTGATTAAAATATTGCATCCTTCATTTACAGTACTTACTCCATTAGAGCTTGGTCCTTTATAAGTAATTTAGATATGCAGTACTGTAAATCATTGGTGGATCATGTGGCCTACATATTCATGGGCGACAAATAATTAAACTCCGTTCTTTCTACATAAATCATCCTGGATGGCTCACAGATGTATAAATTTTTTTATGTCACTCCTGTGAAAGTTTAATGGCATCATCCTCAGGGGGGATCCCAAGTGTTGCTGCTAATGTTATGGTGACCTGTCTGTCATATCAAGTTTAACCTCTGAACCAATTTCAATGTACTTTTTTATGTAATTCACTCATTAAATATTATTATTATTATTATTAATATTATTATTAATGACTTTCTTCACCTTTCACGTATCATTAGTTTATCTTCTTTCTTAGATTTACACGTCGAAATATGATTTATCCATACAGGTGAGTTATTACAGGTACAGACACTCAGGTAGTGCAAGAGTTAGTTAGTTGTTGAGCTGTAGCTTTATCTTATATATGACTTTTTATACAGTTTTACAATATCTCCAATAAGATTACAAGTAACTGATTAGTTAAATAGTACAGTATGGTTATTTTACACAGACTTTTCCAGTTAGTACAATTGTCGACATATATAATGTGTGGATATATATATATATATATATATATATATATATATATATATATATATATATATATATATATATATATATATATATATATATATATATATATATATATATATATATATATATATATATACAGTACACATACATAAATAATAATGGAGTACCATGTTGTGACATTTTCTGTCAGGTCAAACGGAATCAATGATTTTTGTTTCCACATTTGTGGCACGTATACATACCCTAAAATTAAGACAAAAAACTTATTGATATTGGACTTATCAGGTTTCGGTCCTCCCTTTAACAGGCATCTGTAATTTTTTTTCTCTATTCCCTATAACTGAAGTTCTCCATATGGAGTTTCAAAGAAACCTGGGACATGTCTGCCCCTTGGGTCAAGAAGGAAGTTTATGCTTTTGGGCCGTGGTGGGGTAAGTTGCCTTGTTTGCGGTGCTCTTGTTTATTTGACTTAATTCTTTGCGCGAGCTGGAGGATATGATGTTGTGTCCCGGTACGGCGGTGAGGTCCTCTCCTAGCAGGTGCCGTCAACATGACCAGCTGACACGTCTCAGTGCAAACCCAGCCCTGGTGCGGCCTCAAGCTAAGATAGACTCTCATGCAAGGATCTCTACCGCATGTTCGTGAGGGATGCACAAGTGTAGTAGCAGTAGTAGTAATAGTAGAAGGAAAAGTTATAGTTGTAATAGTAATAGTAAAAAGAAGATGTAGTAGTAGTAGTAGCATATACAACGCACAAATGTACAAAATCAGGAACTCACTAAAAATAAGCTAGAGAGTTAATGGCAAAGAACACAAGAGATGACTGATTATTAAGTTTGGTGTTAATGTTACTTAATAACTGATTAAAGGAACTAAATGATAATCAATAATAAATTATGAAAATCTTATATAGAGATGATCATAATCATAAACTCGCAAGGCTACAAGGGCTGGGTTGAGGCTAGTGATAACTCTCTTTTGCGTCCTGAATGTCGTTTTCTGTTGCACCTGAGCGGGCGCCACTTACCATGATGCCTGTTGTCACCGCTATACCCCTCCCACAGTAAGTATTTGGGACAATATCACCATACCCCACGGACAAGAATGTGATCGCTATAAGCCACATGGTGTTCAACAAATTGGCATGTTCTGCGTCATGGTACCTGTTGGGAGAGCGAGAGAGCAGTGACAGGTAAGAGGGGCAAGGGTAGAGTGGCCACTTACCATGATTCCACAAGCCACAGCGATGGTCCTCCCACAGTACGTGTTAGGAACAATATCCCCGTACCCAACACATAATATAGTGACAGCGATGAGCCACATAGCGTTAAGCAGATTAGCATGTTCTTCATCGTGATACCTATAGAGTACAAGACATGACCATTAAGAGTGACTCCCGGGACTCGCCCGGGGTTAGGTCAACCACTGAACACCAATCAGGGTGGACAACAACCAGTAAGGGGCGTGGTTTCATCAACCGGGTGATTCATTGCAAGAACATGATTGGATGCAACATTTAAATGGGAGTGGTTTGATGCCAAGGGCTTAATCTGACGGTATACACCAAGCAGGCCGGTATCAATCTACACAACTAGATGGCTATTGGCCAGGAGGAGTTAGAGAGTGAGAGAGACAACACCGAGCGTCACGTGAGCAGGGCACGTGACGTGTAGAGCACGTGGCGACAGTTAAGACCATGTGTTCATAGCTGTACTATATTGTTCACGGCTGAGCCCTTTTATTAAACTAAGCCATTTTTTATAGAAACTGAGCTTCATTCATTGAAATGAACCTCAGTGAGGAAAAAAACAGCTTAGGGCTCGAGTTACTAAATGAGCCCTTAACTGGGCCCTAGACGTACTCCGGGCCAGTCCCCATCGTGGCTGCCCCACAACAACACCGTAGCCCCAACTGGCCCTGCAGGGGTGCTGAGGGGGATGGGGGGTGTAGGGGAAGGGGGTGTGGGTGGGTGGGAGGGAGGGTGGGAGGGAGGGCGGGAGGGAGGGAGGGGGAACTCTGTGACACCTGCCATCACTATCACAGTGATCGTCACTGCCTTACACACTCTGCCACTCTGAGTGTGTAGAGGAACTAGTAGGACGATCATGTAATCAACAGCAGGAGTGAACAAGCTACTGCATCAAGTCAACAAAAAATACCTTTACCTGAGAGGGTAAAGTGAAGTCCGTTGGTATATATATCATGAAAATCATAAGAGATACTGTTAAAAATATGAGAGGCTCTTATATGTATACATATGTAAAACTATATGTATATATATATATAGAGTTATTGCATGCTTGGCAATGAAAAAGAGGCGGACTGATACAATACTCTGCCTTCGGAAAATGAACTTCTGATTTGCTGAAAACTCTCATCAGCCGATCTGAGGCAAACACCAGGATCATCTGCTGTTGAGCTGAGCGTCTGAAGCGGCATCCTCGGGCAACAAGTATTGGCACATGAAAGCTTTCAGCCAAATCAAGAAAATGAGTATTTCCGAAGGCAGGCTTTAGTGACTGACCAATGAGTTGAGAACGGTATGGTGTTGGGGCTACTGTGCTGCGGGAGAACATTATACATGGTATAGAAAAAGAATATATTGACCAAAAAAGGCTGGTAACTAGACTAGAAGCCATATCTAAGAACGTAATGTTTCTAGTAGGCATAAGGAACCAAAAGAGATATAACTGGTACGTCTAGTATGCCATTCACATCACTACTTAAATAAACTTAAGGCTACAGATGCTAAGTTCCATAAATACTGTAATGTACGGAGGCCCGACTGTGAAAGTGAGCTCCACTTGCTTTGAATATTCTGCAAGAATAAAATACAATTAGATAAAATTATCATTTGAATAAAGATTAATGCTAATATTGGGCTGAAGTACATCACGTTGGAAGTGTTTAGTGGGCATTATTTTGACGTTCTATTTTTGTTTCTATTTTACTATCTATGATAAAATCTAAGACAATTAATAATTATAATAATAATATTGATCCCAAATTCTAACACAGCAGATCAGTGGTAACTTTAAGCAGCATCGGCATGATTGCGTGCGCTGCCACTATCTAAAGTCTAGTAACTAGCTGCCGATGCCACTCTCAGCTGCCATCTGTTCAGAAGCTGTATTGGAATCTGAGACCAGCAAAAACATGCATACTGTCTCCGCATGTGGAGTTCTAAGGGACATTCTAGACGTCTTTTGCAGACAGAAATTAATCGTGTGATGATTATCTATTTAACTAAAGAGGCAACATGAGGTAGATGCACACGCTGATCTGGAGACCGTTTAAGGACATCAGGATATGTCTGAAGAACACGGAAAAAAAAAAATATTTAAAGAGAATCATTAGGGAAAGTTAAAGCAATGAAGACAAATCTGAGGTAAAATCATTGACTGCAGTTCCTGTGAGACTTTATCAAAGAATAGATTTAAGAGTTAAGAAATATGACGCTTTATATCGTGTTGGTCGTGGTCTGTAACGTTAACATCAATAACACTATATTAAGAAATATCCAGATGACCATCATAAAGGATTCCTTCCTGTGTTCTGTGAACAGTGGCAATGAACCAAAAACTGAATAAGCTTTTACTAGCCTAGGGCACTTAAGCGCTCAATTTATGGCACATATGTGTACTCGTGACTTGTATTTGTTAATATGGTAACAAGTGTTTGCATACTACATTGCTGCCAACAAGCGTCAAGCATATGATGCTGAGAGACACATATGACGAGAATTTGCACTAAAGCTTACAGGTGGGAGGCCTGCAGTCAGTATGGGAACAATCTACACACAAGCTACAAGGTCAGCGTGGCAGCTCCTACAGAATGAGATGAACCAGACAACCTTGTTCCAAAAATAGTTTAAGTGGATCTTTAATCTTCTTGTAAACTGTGAAGGTTATAGTTTACCAAAGACATCCTGTAAAATCATTAAAGGTTATAATTACTGTACTGTTAGTTACAATATAATGAGGAAACTTATTCTCATTCCTTTGTTCTTGAAACCAGATACTATGTAAAAAAAAAAGCATTTTTGTTTCAAGAAACAAAGTGTGTGACAGTGCAGTAAGAGGCCCGTCTCATTCTTTGGCTCTGATGCAGTTAAATTAAATTATTGCTAAACTTTCAGTGTTCTATGCAATTCACACTCATATTGGAAAGAAAAATGAATACAAAAATAAGAAGCTATCAGTCAATAACTTAAAAAAAGAAACAATGCAATTATCAATATGAATCTCACATAATCACTTTTTTTTATGGAAACACCATTGTTTAACTTTTTACTCCTAATATGTTTATAAAGGAAGATGATATGACCAAATTAAAATGAATAAAACTACTGTATATGCAATTTTTTTTCCCATTATCAAGCTGAAACTTTGAAAGTGGGAAATATCCATTCTTTTCAAAAGTATTATATTATTTCATTATTACTAACACATTCTGTACCAAAATGCATGTAAAGTATTGTGTGTGTGTGTTAACATGTTCATTGTTATGCCTTACAAAAATAAATATACAGTTATATATACACTGTGTGTGTGTGTGTGTGTCTTCATGCCACCGTTTTTTTTTTTGTCCATACTGTACTTGTTTCTGTATGTATATGTGAATATATCTGTGCTTGTTTGTGTGTGTTTGTGTATGAATGCATGCATGTCTGTGTGTGTGTGTGTGTGTGTGTGTGTGTGTATGCATGCATGTGTGTGAATGTGTGTGTGTGTGTCTGGTGTGGCCTACCTCTCACACTGGCGTAGTGTCCACGAGGCAATGATCCACAGAGAGACCATGAAGACGAGTAGCACCGTGCCTGGGCAGATCGTCATCAGAGTCTTGAGAACAAACCGCGTGTTGAAGTTGATCCTGTTGAGCGCCCCAATACTCCGCGACGACGCATCCGTAAACAGCTGTCGAGCGAAGAGCAGGGAACTCTAACCCTTGCTACAAAGGGGGATTATTCGAAAGATGATGGAGATATGAGACGACAACACAAAGAAGAGAGAGATATAGAGAGAGAGAGAGAGAGAGAGAGAGAGAGAGAGAGAGAGAAAATGGTGATATGGGAGACATCACCACTGAGAAGTGAGAGAGAGACAGGACAGTTGATGCAAATATGAGAGAATTCTACAACAACCAGAAACAGGAGTTAACGTAGGTATGAGAGAACCTCAACCTCACTGAGATATGAATAAAGTAAGAGTGATCCTCTAGTTCTGAGGAAAAAGCTTAGTTAAAAAGAAACAAAGAATGAAATCGTACTGTGGACTGACAAAGGCCAAAAAGGAATTCAACATTGTTAAAGGAAAGGCTTACATGGAATCCAAAACCGAGTACTGATGGATAAATTATATACTGTAAAGGTGCGATGCACTCAGTGAGTCAAGTAAAATAACAAAAACATTAAACGGAGAAAAATTCCGGCTTGTTAAAAAAAATCCATGTCGTGATGCGAGTTGGGTTAATATACAGCAGATAAGTTTTGACGGAAATTCAGCAAAATCTTTTCAACGAGAGATGGTGAAAGCCTTGAATGGTTGAAAAGAAAGGATTTTTAAGAGGCCCTAGTGGGTTATTTTATGAGGAAGAGAAATCAGTTGTTTTATGGGATTGTGACAGAGTGGAGAGAGAAAAGGAATCACTCACAATAGGTTAGTTCCGGTTGGTTACAGGCCTAGAGGGAGAGGATGGAGATAAGGGGGAGACTCTCGAGGATGGATGGAGCAGATCAAAGGGGAGTTCTGTTGGAAAGTCCTCCGAAAGGGAAGAGAAAGTAGTACCCTTTTAGAGAATTTTTTTTATGTATCAGGAATTAAGAGGAAATAGAACCCCCTACTCTGGATGCAAAGTTATATATAATTTAAAGGGAAACAAATACCCTGGAGTTAAAGTGAATGTGAGAAACAGAGAGACAGAAAGACAGAAAGAGACAAAGAATAATCAACCGAAGATGAAGTGAAGGTCATGAACAGAAGTATGGTAGATTTCATGAAAAGTGGATGATAGGGAGGAGAAGAATGATGTGAAATAAAAGAGGATGAAGCACAGAGAATGAGCAAACACAAATGGTGAATCCCTTATCTCCCCTGTGTCTCTGGAGAGCAGCAGGAGTAGGTGAATAACTGGTGCTTATGAAGGTGAAAGACGGAGAAAGGTGCTCCACTTCCCAGGCGAGGTGACTCTTGTAGGGCAGGTGGAAGTCACACACCCTGAGCTAATGTTGTTAAATCCAGCTGTTGTCCATTAATGGGCTAATTCATTGAGCCTGGCTGCTTCCTCCTCCTATATTACTCGTTTTCTTAAGGTTATATCTGTTTACCAGTTCAATGAATTGGTTTTCTTTATGTCAAAGGCTTCATATCATTCGAGATTAATAATCTCATTCTTATTAGAATATATAATTTCCAGGTCTCCAGCATACCTGGTTTCAGCAAGATCAACCCCAAAATGGGTCTTATGAATCCCACTTCCGGGAACCTAATCTAAGTTGAAGGAAATGATAGCGAGTCGCATAAAGTACTGTAGGCCTGACGGCCAATTAGGGACAGTGCAGACGCAACACAGTGTATTTTAGAACCTATGGTACACAAGAAGGAAATGTGCCCAGCAACTGTACTTGAGGGCCTTCACCTTCCAACTGCAAATTCAAGTATCCATTCATAGTGACACTTTGGAAGCGGGTGTGGTGTTCACTCAGCCGCCATGACCACACTAAGCCACATTAAAATAACCTAATCTTAATTACCTTATAGTAACAAAACATTAATTACATTAATGCTGTCCAATTTAATGTAACATACCTACTCATGGCCTAATTCAGTGAACTTAACCTAACCTTTATATCCTGCCCTAACCTAACCTACCTTAACCTCACCAAACCCACCACTATACCTGTGAAAATTTGGGTCAGGTTCTGTTCCTGATTGACATTATATTTGGCCCCATAAAATGTAATTACTGTACAATTAATCAGGTATCTTGGCCAGGAAGTCCATCCTACCAATAATAACATCATCATCTATTGGCTCTAAAATAAATAAATATATAACCTGATCCTGACTGCCCTTATAATGTAAGAATATTGTGTGATCCCGATTGATGTGGGAAAGTAACAACATGACCCTGACTGACTTATGAATCTAAACGACCTATGAGTCCAAGAATAAAACTGAACTGATTGACCTCAGGACGCACCAGCTGAACCTGACTGACCTTAGAATGTAGTAACATGACCCTGCATATGAGGTAAAGCCGCAGGAACATAGGGAGGGAGAGGGTGATGTCTATGGGCACCCACTCCGAGTCCTCCAGGCCGCCGTGGTTGGAGAGCTTGGTGGTCCAGAAGAAATAATACTCTCCAGGGATCGGGTGAACTGCACAGATGATCAGCTCCATGGCTATCCTAGCGATGCGCTGCCAGGTCATCGCGATGCGCCAGTCATCTGCACAGTTGTCGATCATGAATAACTGTGAAGAAAAAGTGCGTGGTATTATCCAGAGGAGTAAAATGTCAATGAATGCCCCAGAATAACATTAAATATTGGTTGCTTGAGAGACACCCATATAAAACCAGACACTTGTATTAAAAATCTATCAAATTTAAATGAAAGCAGAGGGGGAGGTAACATGGAGGGCAGATGAGACAGTGAGGAGCCGTGTAGGGGAGTGGGAGGTGACATGTAGGGGAGCGGGGGGAGACGTGTAGGGGAGTGGGAGGTGACGTATAGGGGAGTGGGAGGTGACATGTATGGGAGTGGGAGGTGACATGTAGGGGAGTGGGAGGTGACGTGTAGGGGAGTGGAGGTGACGTGTAGGGAGGAGGTGACGTGTAGGGGAGGGAGGTGACGTGTAGGGGAGGGAGTATGGGAGGGGAGGTGACATGTAGGGGAGGGAGGTGACATGTAGGGGAGTGGGAGGTGACATGGGGAGGGAGGTGACGGTAGGGGAGGGAGGTGACGTGGGGGGGGAGGTGACGTGTAGGGGAGTGGGAGGTGACATGTAGGGGAGTGGGAGGTGACGTGTAGGGGAGTGGGAGGTGACGTGTAGGGGAGTGGGAGGTGACGTGTAGGGGAGTGGGAGGTGACGTGGAGGGCATATACAGGGTGTCTCAATAAAATGTATACCCACTGCATAACAGATTTTTATAGAGATCATGTGAATGTCTGTACAATATTATCCTCACTTGTGGGAGACGCCATACATCAGCAAGTATGGGACAATATTACTGTTTTAAGACAAACATTTACACAACATCCAAGATAATCTGTAAGAGAGTTTGTATGTATTTTTCTGAGAAACCCAGTAAATGATAACAAGAGGGACATTATCACATATATTTCATCAGTTTCATGAGAAGAAAATTTTTGAAATTATTCGAATTAATGATCGACATATTGTTACACTACCACACAAAATCTGACTGATCTTAGAAGTGTGTGACTCCTAGTAATAAGGAGAGCTACATCAAGGTACATAGACTCAGTGAACCAGAGAAGCCACAGAAGATATGTAAAGGAACTTGAGGTCAGTGAAATGTTAAGAGAACCTGTGTCAAGGAGGGAAGATAACTTTTTTGAACGTTAAATATAAGAAGGTAGATATTCACGCTCTAATGAGGAAATCTATCTATCTAGTATCTATCTATCTATCTATCTATCTATCTATCTGTCTGTCTATCTGTCTGTCTATCCTTCTGCCTTCTGTCTGTCTGTTACACTACTATCGTTTGATCCCCCACCAAAAATACTGAAACTGACTACAAACAGTTATGGAACAGAGAATGTTTACTGTGTTAATATTTGCTAACATACAGCCAGACCTTTAACTTGTTGGCACCAAACCTATCTTTGTAGTTCTGGTATAGGAGTGGAAATAGAAATACCCTGTACTGTATTCTTAAAGTACGATACGATTTTTGGTGGAGGTGATAAACCAGTCTATGTTGTTTTAATGTGCAAGAATAACTTTAAAAGGCAACTCCACAAGGGCTGTCAGTTGGTTGAAAATGTTCAAAGGAGGGCCACCAAACTGGTGCCTGCACTTCGGCATCTCAGCTACCCTGAGAGATTGGAGCGCCTGAACTTGCCTAGCTTATACTACAGACGGGCAAGGGGGGACCTAGTTGAGGTTTATAAGCATCTCAGGGGGCACTACTCAGTTGAGTGTCCTTACTTGGAGCTGGCGGACGCTCGCCCCACAAGGGGTCACAGCTCAAGATTGAAGAAGCCGCAAGTCCAGAAAACCGTGAGGGCAAACTTTTTCGGAGTGAGGGTTGTAAACTCTTGGAACAATCTACCAGAGAGTGTTGTGACGGCACCGAGTGTGAGCTCTTTCAAGAGAAGACTTGACCAACACTGGAGCGGGTTCAGGTACATTCAGGAGCCGGTGCATGCCCAGTATTTGCCAACAGTGCGTGACAGAGACGTGACCGATCGCCCGGGCGGCTAGCGAGCCGACCTTTTGGTGAAGAATATAAAGGAAAAGAGACGTGACCGATCGCCCAAGCGGCTAACAAGCCGATCAGTGGTGAAGAGGATAAAAGTAAAAGTAAAAGTAAGAATTTAACTCCTAAACGACACATTTGAAGTCTTATTTTTATTATAGATCTTCATACCCTCTAAAATATATCACAAGGAGCCCTGCTGGTTGACAAGCTGGAGCAAGTTGGGAAAGAGATCCTTGCTAATACTGAGGAAGTAGCTAATAGAATGGAGGTGGTTGCTAAGAGGAGTTATGCTGACGTATTAGGAGGGCCACGGGGGAGGGCGGAGAGTAATGCAGAATCAGTACAGGTTCTACAGCAGATTGGGACTTTGAAAAAGTGTGTCGAAGAAATGAAAATTAACGGACCTACTGTTAGGGGAGAGGAGGAACACCAGGAACGGCTCCAGCGCAGGAACAATGTAATAGTTTTTGGAGTCACCGAGAGCCAGGCGGAGGGAACTGTGAGTAAGGAAACACACGACAAGGTGCTGTTTCAAAATATTTGCACAGAGGTTCTGAAGATTCCAGCAACCCCTCAGGATGTGAGGAGGCTGGGACAAAAGCAGGGGGCTAAGCCTCGCCCCCTCAGGATCACACTAGGGAGTGAGGAGGAGAAATGGCAAGTTATTCGGCAGGCAAAAAACTTAGCAAGGAGCGAGGCATTTCGGGATGTATTTATTCACCCAGACCGCACGGTAATGCAGAGGGAACAGCACAAGAAGCTCCTGCAGGACTTGAAGCAGAAGAGGGAGGAGTCGAGGAGGAACGGGGACAGGTGTACATGGGTTATACTCAGGGGGAGGGTAGTGGAAACAAGTGTGCCGACACAGGGCCAGGGGGCAGCAGTGAACCCTCCACCCACTCAACCCCCCACCCGGGAGGCGGCACCAGCTCAGCCTACCGGACAGGAGGGAACGAGCGCCGTGTAAACAATGACATTTCTAACCACACCCTGCAAAATACAGTGTACTTAGCAAATGCTGCAGCTTCTGAGAATGTGGGGGGAGCGGGTTTATTACTAAGAGCAGAGACGTTACCGAGAACAAATTCTGGCTTGAATGTCATGTACACTAATACTGACACGTTCCTTGATAAGAGAGAGGAGTTTGAAACACTACTAAGAGTACACCAACCAGATATTGTAGGAGTTGTAGAACTGTTGTACAAGAACAGGAGAATCGACCCAGAGGAATGTGAGTTCAGTATTGCTGGATATGACTCATTTACGAACCTAACTCAAGAATCCTGCAGGAGGGGTGTGGTTATCTACGCTAGGCAAGACCTTAGAGCCAGCCAGGCGAGGGTACAGGGAGAGGATGTTTTTGAAGAGTCCAAGTGGTGTAAAATTAAATTAAAGGGAGGGGACTTACTTATCGTCGGGTGTATCTACAGATCCCCAAACTGTGGCCCACTAAATCAAAGGAACTTAAGAACCTTAATAAACAATGCGGCGATGCTCAACCCCAGCCACCTCCTTATCATGGGGAACTTTAACTATGGCGACATCGACTGGAGAAACGAGTCCACCCCGAATGACTTGAATAATCCTGCTACTCTTTTTGTAGAAACTCTGAGAGATAATTTTCTGTTCCAACATGTGAGAGACCCGACACATTACAGAGGGGAGCAAACACCCAAGCCACTTGACCTCATCATAACAAACGAGGAGGGTATGGTGGCCAAACTGGAACACCTTGCCCCAGTTGGCACCAGTCACCATACAGTGTTGTCATTCAGATTTAACTGTTACCTAGTTCAAGATAAGGCCAGGCCAAGGTGCAAATATTACAAGGGAAATTACAATGGGATGAGGGAAGAGATGAGGGGTATCAACTGGCCTGACTTATTAAGGTACAAGAACGCAGACACTACGCTGAATATCATAACTAGTAAAATGACCCATTTGATCGATAAATATATACCCAAGACCAAACCCAGTGCTTCTAGGAATACGAGGGGATCCCTACACATGAACCATGCGGCGGTCGACAAAATTAAGAAGAAAACCCAGAAATTCAAGACGTGGGTTGGGTCAAACGATGAGCAAGACAGGAGGATGTATGCAAGAGCCAGAAACCAAGCAAAGATAGAGTGTAGGAGGGCTGAAAAGGAGTTCCAGAGGCTGGTTGCACGCGAGGTCAAGTCAAACCCAAAGGCGTTTTACCGCTATGCAAAGTCGAAATTGAAAACGCGAGTAGGAGTATCAGACCTGAGGCTTGAAGATGGTAGTTACGCAGATTCTGACCAGGATAAAGCTGAGGCATTGAACAGCTTCTTTTCCTCAGTGTTCACAAGAGAGGATGCAACTAACCTTCCTGCGTTTGAGGACAGACGGTTCGACACAGCACTGACCCACATTGTGTTCACAGAAGAGGGTATTAGAAATAAACTGTCCAGGCTAAAGGTCCATAAGAGTCCCGGACCTGACATGGTGCATCCTAGAGTGCTAAGAGAGCTGTGCAACGAGCTTGCAGAGCCCCTGAAGATTCTGTTTTGTAAATGCCTGGATGAACAAATGGTCCCCAGTGAATGGAAAGTGGCTTATGTGAGTCCTATCTTCAAGAAGGGCGATAGTCACTCCACGAACAACTATAGACCGGTGAGCCTGACCAGCATAATATGTAAAGTACTTGAGAGTATTATCAGAGATGCCGCGATGGAACATCTACTACGAAACAACCTTGTAAAAGATTGCCAACACGGTTTTATGCCGGGGCGCTCTTGCTTAACACAATTGCTCAAGGTATTGGATATTTGGACCCATATTCTAGAACGGGGTGGTAATATCGACAATATTTACCTAGATTTTGCCAAGGCTTTCGACAGTGTACCCCACGAAAGGCTGAAAATCAAACTGGAAGGGTACGGAATTCGGGGAAATGTCCTAGCGTGGATAGAAGACTTTCTACATGACCGCAAGCAGTGTGTGGTGATTAATGGCACGAAATCGTCATCTGTACCTGTAACAAGTGGGGTACCGCAGG